CGAATAGAAGCAAAAGTTCAGTCTATAATGCTTCCGAGCGTACGGTGGAGCTGAGGAATTTGCACGCATGTGTGAATTATCCCACACCANGAATGTTCAAATAGCAAGTTGTCAGCACTTATCCACATTCTGATTATTAGCGTCTGTCTCATCCGATCGCGTTCAGTTTTGCTGTTCAGCTTAACGAAGTACTTTTTTAATTGTTTTCCGGTGCCATTCAACACACACAAGAAAAGTCAGGCGGTGATGGTGGGATTCGAACACACATCCCCACTGCGTGATAATTTGTTGACGTTACCACCGGGTCTACATGCCGTAGTATTACGTGGGTGATTAGTACATGTGACTTCCAGTGTCATGGTGTCTAAGCCACAGTGATTAAGTTCAGTGGATCTAAGTACGAGTCCACGAATGGGATTGAATCCCGGTCGAGCTATGCAACTGAAAACATGCATGGAATCTCCGGGACATCCATCAACGTTCGGTCTTGATTTCCAAATGGTTCCAAGAACGTTCTGAAAACCGCGTGGATCACCCACAGTGTTTTCGTACGCACACACACACACGTACAGGATTTTCCCATTCAACATTTGTCACAACACCGTCTCTAGTGAAGGGAAAGCTAGACATTTCACGAAAGGCGTATACATCAAACGGGTTATTTNTACTCATTCCGAGGGGGTTCCATTGGTGGAAGGGGTGGCACGTAAAAAGGAAACGGAGGGAGGGACAGGGAGGGGCGGGGGGGGTTGAATGTTCAAATAGCAAGTTGTCAGCACTTATCCCCATTCTGATTATTAGTGTCTGTCTCATCCGATCGCGTTCAGTTTTGCTGTTCAGCTTAACGAAGTACTTTTCTAATTGTTTTCCGGTTCACAGTTATTCCACTTACCATAGTTTTCAATCATATACATCAATTTTTTTCGCTTGATTTCAGTGCACATTTTCACAGTAGCATTGCAGCTGGAATTCGACTGCTTTGTGGAGCACATATCCATCCACCCCCACCCCGTACCCCTGTCTCGCTCACACTCTCCAACAATGATGCCTGTACATATTGGTCATACAAGAAGTTTCCCCGTTCCCTGTATCGCTTGATGCGTTAGTTGCTTGTCAACAAGCATGTCAACTTGCGTTCTACTTATACCAAAGTGGAATGTGAACCCCGTTAATGCAGNTTATTATGTGTGCAATACGCGATCGAGCTTTCATTCTTCTCTACGTGCGACTGATGTCGCATCGATAATATAGTAACAGCTGGATAGTTTTAAATGCGATAGAAATATTTGTCAAGACCAACACAAAAAGCACTGAAAAGCTGTATCCTGCCCTGTTTGAGACTCGTCACTAGTGCGTATTTGTTTCACCCATGTCAGGATTCCAATCACGAACATTCGGGTCCATCCAGAGTGCCTGGTGCCTCTACATATTCGAATGTGATAATCCAAGCTTAGTAATCTAAGTTGATTAAACCATTCGTACAATGGACAACTGTCGACCATGTAGCTCACAGGTAAGAGTTTAAAGTCCCAATTCGAAGGTTCGCGGTTCGAGTCCTTACAGGAATACAAAAAAAACACTGTTTTCGAGTCTCAAACAGGACGAAACAGCTGTCCAGTGTTGTTTGTCGGTCATCACAAACATTTCCATCGCATTTGAACGCATTCAACTGGTGGGAAATTTCAAATGGGAATATGTCGTGTATATAGCAAATGAAGCGTAAACTGAAAAGCTAGGAATCACTGGATAGCTGTTTCGACCTGGTTGGGTCTCATCAGCGCGTTGCGAACCCATGGACCAAATAGGGGATTGAAACCGGGACTTCATGGGCCTAACGCATGCATGCTACCCACTCGGCCACTGAGCAGCTGATCAGACCGTTTTTCATTTTCCATTTACACGATATGGCACAACCCATCTTCGCGAGCTTGTTGTTGGGAGTAAAACCCACACCCCAGTCCATCAAGAGTGCCTGATGCCTCTGCGCTATGATTGGTCTTCCTTGTCACTGAGTCCGTGTTCGTACAAGTGAGCGAGTATACAAGGATTTTGTAGGTAGCTGAAGTTGTGTACCGGAGATACATGATGATTATTAATCTCACTGATAATAACAATGTGTCCGTCTCTAGGTGGGTGGTGGTGCATTTGCATCCTTCTGTCGTTTTTCTGCTTCCCTGAAATCGATGAGCTCTCACTGATTGCAAGAGGACCAGACAGACATCTGTGAAGTGCTTTCAGTTTTACTCCAGTTTGTGCACATTTTTCTATTTTTACGATAAATTTATAGGTTTGTAAAAGATGAAAAGAAAAAAAGAAAACATGCATCAAATGTGTAGCAGATGTGGACTTCAGATAACAACAAGAAAACGACCCAAGGTTTTCGAGAGAAAATCAATCGGCGAGGCTGGGACAGGGGAGGGGCGAGCAGGCGTGGGCGTGGGCGTGGGCGTGGGAGGGGGGGACGGGGCGAGGCTGCAGAGGTATAACGAGAGGACGACCTTGGTGAGATCCGAGCGACCGCTTTGCATATCAGTACGCTGATGGCCTATTGATCAAATCCACTTATACCGTAGCATATGTCCATTTTTCCGTTTGGAATCTCTGACAGGAAATCTGTCCAGTTGACACTGAATTCGATTCAGGACGCTATCTGTTTTCCGTCGCAATACTACGCACAGTACAAAAAATTTTGTTTTGTTTTTAAATAAAAGATCACTTTCAACACAAGTGATGAATTCGTGCAACCTTCGGCGGTTTCGGTTGAGCCTCCTCTGGTGAGTTCAATCAATTTCGAATTGTCCCATTAGACCACCAACGAACAGTTTGAAGAGGACACAACGTAACGAACAAGACTTGTTGTCAGTGTCTCGTCTTCATTGGCTAGTACGTCAAATGTCCAAGGTGAATTTGTCGTGTACGTAGCAAATAAATCATGAAGTGAAAAGCTAGGAGGCACTGCTGGACAGCTGTTTCGACCTGATTGGGTCTTATCAGCCGTGCAGCGCAGTGCTGTTCAGTGCTTGAATCCATCGATCCAATTGCGGATCGTGACCTCGGGACCTTATGGGCAGAACGCAGACAGGCTATTCACTCAGCCATTGACACGATATAGCACAACCAATCATTGCGAGCTTGTCATAGGCCACGGACCTCGCTCATCTCAATACTAGTCTCCGGGGTTATCACTCGGTTGAAAATATTCACTACAAGGGGATTTTTTTTAAATTGAATAAACTCCTCCATTACTCGCATGAAACATCACAATTTATGTAACTCTCTTAGAATACTGGAGGGTCAAAGTCAAATTTTTATTAAGGGAAATACTTACAAGCGGTTGCTTTTCTAGTCCCATAGGGTTTGGCACAGATGAATCGGTTCACAGTACATACAAAGTAGATGAATGTCACAATGTCACAATTTGTCCTTTTTTCGTGCGCTTCCACTGCTATTGAAACTTAAGACTTTTCAAAGCTTCATCCAGATTGTGCTTGAATGAATCAATTGTGGGCGCAGAGACAACGTGTGGTGGTAGAGAATTTCAAGTAATGCACACTCTGAGGGCGAATAAATACCGCCGGCATTCTAGTCGGCATTTTTGGAGCGCTAATTTGAATGAGTGCTCCCGCAGGTGAGTGTTGGGCGACAAGGAAAGGAGTGGACGATATGGGTGGTCTGGGTTCCGCATTATTTGGTATATCAAGATCAAATCTCCTCGAATGCGATGATACTGTGTGGAGATATAAAAATGACAATAATGGATAAATAAAGTCGAAGGAATGTAGATAATGTTTACTGTTTCCGCTGTGGTGTTCCGTCCAGATTCACCGAAGGTGGGGGTGTGGGGGATGGGTGAAAATTAGGTAGGTTGATGACCATGGGATATACTACATTTTGATTTTGTGAACCTTCTTAACCATGACACTCAAGTGAGACTGG